TAAGACGGATGACAGGAAGAAAAGCGCAGCTCTAGTTCAAGGGCAGACCTATTTGGTGGGGAAGACAAGACAGATACAGCGGCCAAGAGCACTCTATTCCGCAGCGGACATGGCAAAGCGATAAAGCCTAAATTCATTCAAAACAGCACAGCTAGGCGGAAGGAAAAGAAGTTCAGTAGTCGCAAAACTATGGGTCACTCTCTCGTTTTAAAATCTTCCCCTCATACGCACCTAGCTCTCGCGCACGGGCCCCCAAAAAAATTTGGTGGGAAACGATTTCGCGAACCAGACAAGATAGAAAGCTAAAACTTTGCAGGGATATTTTCTGTGCAGAATACGGACGCCCTAAATACAGGTTGCTTCATGACCCAAGTTGAAAAAAATGGCATAAAAAATAGCACATTGCATAGCTTACCGTGCCTGATTGTGGCATTGCGAAGACATCAATAACGTTTACTGTATATTCATCCACAAATTCGCCCAGCATTAGTCCCATAACCTGAAATTTGTGAAATTTTGATGCAAGAATTTGTCCAAAACCAGCAGCTACAGAGGGATACGCAGTTGGCTCAAACATCCCACTTTCAAATGATACTGTAAAACTGATAAAGAACATCTGCCAGCACGTATAGAATAGAGGGGCCATAGAAGGCTGAACCAAAACTAGACGATCCAAGTAAGGCCGAAGAAGACGGTGAAATTGTCAAGTGGTTTTTTGCGACCGATAGTAAGCCGAACCATTGAAATAACGGCTGTTGAAATAACGGTTGAAATAACGGCCCGTATAGCAAAAGAAAATCCGGAACGGCTGAATTCCTTAAGTTTTAAGGGTGGAAGGGTGGAATCTGGAAAAGTTGCCAGATGCGGAATTGGAGAACAAAAAACAACAACAAATTACAGTTGTTTTAAATATTCCAAAAATTTTCAAAATCAAAAAAAAAAATAATCAAAAAAAAAATTTTCGATTGTAATTCCCTGTTTTTTTTTCTCCAACTTTATAGCTGGTAACTTTTCCAGATGCTCTGTCCAATGCTGCATCACCTGACCATATTTTCTACTCTCAAAAGTCAGACCGATTCTCTCGCAGAAGAGCTTTAGTCAATTCGATTTTGACATCTTTATTGTACTGAATATCACCAATTCGTCCCGAATTATCAATCCTTGGTTATAATGAGCGCTATATCCCTGCACTTCCAATAATAATACTTGAAATGGCTAACAGTTCATCACTGAACCATATTTACCGCGCTTCTTTGATGTAACTTCATTTAATGGTTGTTCTAGGCAATACTGCATTACCCCTGGTGGTCAGTATTCCTGCTATCCGATCCCCCTTTCGTCCTCCAAAGGAAATTCCAGTTCAGTGGCTTTCCTAATAAAACCGTTTGGCAAAGCTTCGTCCCCAAAAGTAGCCGCTCCACGACCATCTGATGTTCTAACGCAGGCTTTGGAACCACAGGCGGATCCAAGATGGATTCCTGGGGGAGGAGGGGGGAGGGGAGGGAGAAGGGGGGTGAGAGGAGAGCCCCATCCCACTCTGGAACTATGTAAAAGCTAGGAATAGAGTTGTAACATTGCTACTTAAAGTTACTTTAGTTTTATTTAGGAACTGACTTGGGTTTTTGCAGCACTGGTGCCTGCGCCGCTGGGGAAGTCCAGAAGTCCGTTATGGATTCGCTTGTGGTTCCAAAGCCTGCGTTAGAACATCAGATGGTCGTGGAGCGGCTACTTTTGGGGACGAAGCTTTGCCAAGCGGTTTTATTAGGAAAGCCACTGAACTGGAAATCCCTTTGGAGGATGAAAGGGGATCGGACAGCAAAAGATCCTTCCCCTCCCCTTCTGGATACTCTTATGTTTAGAATGCATTGTCTGATGTATAAGTAGGTTATCAAAATCTGAGCAAAAGCATTCGGGGCAAGTGAATACCTCCATGGGTACGCCGGCTCGGCCATGCTTTAGCATTTTCAGCAAAGCAAGCGATGATATGTAGACCGTTTCGGATGTATCCACTTGATTGCTATCCACAGGATTTGTGCTGCTGAACTAAAAAAGCAACAAAATTAGGCGAAACCAAAATGAAAAATCTCAGTATCACTGAACTTCCGGCCTTGTTTCATGCAGAATTCATACGTGATCTCTTCATATTCTAAGCAGAAACCATGAATTTTTTTCTTTCAAACGAACAAGGAAGAGAGGTTTTTGCGATCAACCGCTGACAAAGCTGTCGATGGCTTCCTCTTCTGAGGATTGCTTACAAGCAAGCTGATGACGGCTTTGCACGTTCAGTAGTAACCAAAACGTGCAGTGCTTCATGGAACGTGACTTTTTTAAAAAAAGGTCAAAAAAACATGATTTTTGTGAAAAAAA